CGATCCTGATGGAGAGGGAGAGCTCGAGCCAGGCCTTGAGGGCGTCCTCGGGGCTGCTGAACTTGGCGAAGTCGACGACTTCTGCCATTGTTTTGTGGGAGCTTGGGGGTTAGGGTTAGGGTTAGGGTTTTGGGGGGCGTTGTCTGGGTTGGTTATAACAACGAAGGTGGTGGGAGATGTTATAACTGTTACCCGCTTTTGAAGGTGATCCGAATCAGTCTGTTCTTATTTGCGTTGCTATCCGAACCCGCGTCCTTCTGTCCGTTCCACGTAATTAGTAGTTCAAACCTCCTAATTTTTTTCTTCGAAAAAGGTGGGGAAAAGATAAATGATGCCTTTCTTGGAGAAATTCTTTTATTTATTTTTGACTAGATGATGACTTAAAAATTACCTTTAGTTTCTTCACATCTAGTAATGCTAAATTAAGAACAACGTAGTCCAAAGCATCGTTGATGACCCAGATGGTTGGAAGGTCTCGATATGACTCCCACTATTTTGGATTCGATTCTCGGTCACCTCATTATAAATTAAAAAAAAAGAACATAGTTCGTGTAAAATTTTACAATCAGCTAAAAAGATTAATATAATGTCCCTAAAGGATTTTTTTCTCCTCAAATTTAAACTTTTTAGGGTTTTTGCATTTTTACCCCTAAAAGTTTCAATATCTGTAAATGTACCTCATATCTTGGAATTCACAATATTACACTCCATTTCTCTCTTACTGGATTTTTCTAGCCTTTAATTTAACAGTGTTGGTTTCTAAATAGAGCAATGTCAAAAATTTCTAATAATTTTCAATATATTTGCAACATTTTCTCGTTTAAAAAAGTAAGTATCAAGATCTGAGGGATAGAAAAACTCAATCTGAGAGAATTAAGGGATTATTTCACAAATATCAAGATTTGAGGAGTAGTTTTACAAATATAAAATATTTGAGGGTATATATATATGCAAGATTTAAGAAGATGCCTTGTTCCTCTTCAGGAAATGCTCTTGCATTTAATTATTGTAGGAAGTTGCAAACGAATGCGAAACAATCTCTTCCTTTTGTCCACAAAGACAACAAAGTGTCCCTAACTTCTTGCAGTTCTCTCCAAGAATTGAATGATCACTTTACACGTCACGTATATATGAATCTTAACCTTCCAAAGAACAAAATACTTCTAATAGATTTTTGCAATAGGACATCTTTATAAGCAAGTAAACAACAAGAATCAACTCCTCAACGAGTGAACATTGAAATTACTCTAGAGGGGGGGTGAATAAGGTATATGCTAATTTAATTCAATATTAATACCAAATTAAAATTTATTAACAATACCCTAGTAAATATAATATACAACAAGATATATGAGCAATGATAACAAATAAACAAATAGCGATATAAACTATGAGATAATGACGATATAGAAATATGATAAGCAATATGAGCACAAGAATAATACGCCAAGTCAAACACAAACACACAATATGATCACGGAGTTGGGTCACCCTCAACCTACGTCTGCGCTCCTCACTCACGAGGAGAATTCTCCACTATCACAACAGGTTTTCAACATTCACCAAAAACGTTTACAGAATCGGTTTTCTAGCTCACAGAAAACTTTCACAACTCACACAATTGTAATCACACAATACACCCTCTAAGTGTTGGCGTAGCCCATGTTGACTTTTTCAAGTGCTCGGATTTACTATCTCTCTCTAGGCTTTACTATCGACGTCACTCCTCTTGGAATCGACATCGTCTCTCACCACACACTCCTCTCGGTGTCCTTGTGTATTAATATGATCTCACAAATATAGCACAAGTAAAAATAGTTTGTTCTTTAACAAAGATGAGAATTAAGTTTAAGCTCACTTAATCACACCCACAACCCAAATTATACAATATGTGAAAATACTCAAGCTCAGTGGTTGTGTGTGAAACAATAAATAAAATAAAACTAAACTTAAATCAATCTAGCACAAGTGTGTGTGTGTGTGTGTGTGTGTGTGTGTGTGAATCAAAATATGAATATGCTAGAAGATAGGTTTAGAAAAACTTCTCTAAGAATCAAGAGCGATAGAGATGAGAAATTGAATCTCAAACGGTAGATGAAAAGATCTTCTCCTCTTGTGAAACTATCTTCACATAAACACTTGTAAAACAAACTTAAAACAGCCTTAAACACTTGTAAAATTTGTTTTAAAAACTTTCTTGAGTAGTTCAGAAGTTTAGGACATGGAGTATATATAGGATCATGGAATAAAGCCCAAGAAACCAGCAAAAACCAATAAAAATCACAAAACAACAAAAATCTGGAGACTAGCCGTTACTGAGCAACGGTCATATCATCAATCGACTGATTACAGGCGTCAGTCGACTGATGCCTGCATTGGTCGACTGATGCATTATCCGTTGACTGAGAAGATGAAAACCACTATCTGGGCTTCACTTCATCAATCGACTAATCACTGTAGTGAGTCGACTCATAACGTGCACATAACCTGTTATGAACAATAAAAATCAACTTTAAACCCTCTTTAAAAACATCAAATAAATTCTAAAAATTATAAAACTTTGAAAATGTTTATAAATATGAAAATAAACATGTTACATAAAGAATTTTTTAAATTGCATTCCCCATTGTGAAAACTCATCATTTTGCAAAATAGTCCAAAACATGAAAACTCAATAAACACATGATTTTGACAAAATAATTTCAAACAAGTTTCAAACTTCTTTTAAATGGATTAATAGACTTTATAAAAGATGTAAAATGATATAATTGAGTCTTTAATCCTTAAAACACATATTTTGCAAACTTGCAAAAATATAAAAACGATAAACATGATTCTATTGATATGAAATTGTTAAAGTTTGATTTTAATAAAATCATTTCAAGCACGTATAAACATAAAACAAATATGTGTGTATATAGCTATATCCACTTGTTTCATATTCATGTGGATAAACTTGAAAGCAATAAAACGAAAACTATGTGTGTGTATAAATTAAGCTCTAAGTATAAATACACAAATTATAACTACTAAACTAAATATACCCAAGCTAAATGATCTCATGATGCTTGATCTTGAGCAATCCTCCTCTGTATTATAGATGAAATAATAGTGTGTATTGGACTTGAATGCATCGTGCTCCATTCCAAATTTCTTCCATCCTCCAATGAATATGATCGTGTTGGCGCAATCGAACCAACCTCCAACGGATGATCTTTATGTAGAATACCTAACAAGCAAATATAAACACTCGACAAGCATTGTTATGAATTGTTTGTTAATCATCAAAACTAGATTAGATAGTAGGCTCATAAATATGAGACCTAACAAACATTTTGTTCTTTCAGATTATAGCTACATGACTTGTCTTCTTAGCGAAATTGTAGCTATGTTTCCAAGACAAAAATCCGTGATGCGACAGAACTATCTTAGTTTCATTACAGAAGGAAAAAAACATAAGAACAACTGTAATAAAAGGTAAGAACAACTATATTTCTTTTGCAATATATAGGACATCTTTATAAGCAAGTAAACAACAAGAATCAACTCCTCAACGAGTGAACATTTTGTTCTTTCAGATTATAGCTACACGACTTGTCTTCTTAGCGAAATTGTAGCTATCGTTTCCAAGACAAAAATCTGTGATGCGACAGAACTACCTTAGTTTCATTACAGAAGGAAAAAAGAAGGATAAGAACAACTGTAATAAAAGGTAAGAAAAACTATATATATTTTTTAAAAGATTGTAAACATCTAATAAGAAATAACTCGACTACCACATTAAAACAAGTAAAAAAACTAAATAATCACTTCAAAATTAAAAATATTGAGGCCTGTCTCCAAATTGGGAATGGTTTTAAGAATGACATTTTTTTTTAACTCTAATATGAGTCAACAGCAATGAGGGACAACACGTGTTAAATGAACTAGAGAGAAAATCAAGAGAACGAAAAATCCGTTGACAAATGAACGGCACATTGAGCTTCAAAGATGTTAAAACAACATTCACCAAAAGCACGCGATAGTTCAGAGTTTTTTGTTTTTTGTTTTTTGTTTTTTGTTTTTTTTTTTTTTTTGGCTCCCTTTTGGAAAAGTGTTCCAATAAGCTACAAACGACTAAAGGCCCAGAATATTGACATTGTTTTAGCCCATTGGGGATGGCATATGTAAACTTCAGGCCTCTAGTCCATCTAAGCTCAAAAGCCAAAAGGGAACACAACTTCACGGGCCGTTTGCTTTAAATTTGTGGAATTTAGACAAATTTAATTCAAACCTCCTCTGAAATTATTGGCTACGAGTCGAATGGATACGGGTCATGATTGTATCAATCTATAAGACTCGGCTACTGATCCCATACAAATGAAACCTATTCTTTTTAAAAATAACTATTTTGAACGGGTAATGAATAGAACAAGGTTAGTACTTGCTTGGATCATAAAAGATATTTAGCTGTGGTCATTTGAATGTTAAAGCACATGCTCTTATTTTTAAACATTGTTATAGCCTTATACATTCAATTCTTTTCGTTTATTATAGTTTTTAACTGCTTATGTTGAGAATGGCTCAAAATAATACGAGGCTAAATTTCCTCCGCTACAAAACTATCTTAAGAAAAATCCAGCTTAATAAGTACCATGACATTAAATGTACAGCAAGTTAATAACAATACTTGATTCTTGAATTATTTGATTTCGAGATTATCCAACAACTGACATCTTTTAGATACATATTTAATTTTAATTTAGTGCACTATCTTTGCTGGATAATTTCTCACAAAATCTATAAAGCCAGGCGACTCCTCTATGTATCCCCCTACCCACTCCATAGGAGAAGGATGAGAAGCCATAAATAGTCTCCTCACTTCCAAAGCAGAAACAGGTACCATTTATTTCATGGTCCATGTGCCAATGACCAGTAGCTTTCAAAAATAGCGTTACCCATAAACATTACATGAACTCAATCATATCCCAAAGTCTAAACCCCTTTCCAAGTCCCCTAGCATTTAATATTCCGAAACCCACACTGTTCAAGTCATGGAAAAATCTAGCAAATTTGCTCAATAACAAAGCCCGAGGACGAAAGACTGTAGTAGAAAGCGAGAGCAATAAAGTGCCCAACGTAAATATCCATAAAAATCCAAACAAAGGCATTAAATCCCTCCCACCAACCAACAACAATTCAAACCTCAACAACCCAAATAAAAGAGTTTTACATCATACCCATCTTCTAAAAATACACAAAAGAGACAAAACCTAGCAAATTTGTAATATTAAAGCTAAGGAAGTCAATTCCCGAACCAAAAAGAACCTACTTAAGCTAACTTGGGTTCGAGCCTTAATTAGCAAAGGATCAGATTTGGTGCGCTCTTGACTCCCCTCCACTTAAATCTCTCTCAATATCATATCCTTCTTTTATTACAACATTACACATAACTCAAACCACAAAAATGCCCTCCGCATACATGAAGAGAGAATTTGACAAAAAGAGACTAAACATAACCCAAAAAATGAAGAAAATGCCCCCAGGTGTATCCAAGGGTATTTTCCTCATTTTAAAGAGCAAACCAAAATTATTTCTCTTTTTGTGTCAAAAACTCGCTCTCAGTACAAAACCTTCGAAGGGCATTTTCGTAATTTCCGAGCTAGCGCTCGGTCTCAACAGAAGCATCAGCCTCAACGTTACCGCCGCCACCACCATTACCCAATGCTGCACTTATCTGCTGCACTGCATTAGAGATATGATTATTAATAGCAGTGACATTTGACAGGTTTAACTTGGCTGACGGGACCGAGCTGACGAGGACCTGCACGCCGATCGTTAACAAACATCCAGAGGCGGCCGATACATCAATGTTGACATCGTCAGGTGATGAGATGGAAGATGGAGGAGGAGACGGGAGAAGGATGAAGCCGGTAGGGAGGAGGGGGATGAAGGAGGTGTCCTCGCCGCTCATGGCGACCTGGACAGCGTCGACGTCGACGGTGGCGTAGACTACGGTGCTTTCAGCACGGAGGGGTGGATGCTGCTTTCTTGGAGGAGGAGTTCTACGCTTTGGGAGGAGTTGTTGGACTGTTGTTTTGCACGTGCATGGATAAAATGAGAGAGCCCATGCAAAAAAGGAGGGGGTGATAAGCGATGGAAACATCAATTTTAAATGAATTTTTTTTTTTAATCCACTTTTTGTTTTCTTTACAATAGAAGATTATAGATTCAAAGTACACATAAAAGGTTTTCTAGATAAATGTGGAAATGTTAACGTTTAAAGAAAAATAATGTCGATCATATATAGTAGAAATTTCACCCAATTAGGTCAATGTGTTTTTAATCTTAAAGTTGGTGTGTCCTGTAGTATCAAAGAAAGATCAAACTTGATGGGTAATTTGTATTATTCTTTAAAAAAACTTTAAAACAAATTAAGGCAATTAAGGATAGTCAGTATGAAAAAGTTCGTTTTTGAGGCGTTATTTAAACCAAGAGCAATATCTATTCATAATAGAAATGTGAAGGGTAAAGCATCAATATGGTACAGTAAATAAACATGCAAGTAGCCAGTAGCCAAGTTACTTCTTATGATCAAAATATTAAAAGTGAATACTAGCTGCTGACAACTCTTGAAAGGATTAAATTTTGAACTGTACGCGTAGACGCGTACCCTTCCTTCTGCTAGGAATTTAAGACCTTGTCTATGCTCTCGGAATTTTTGAAGGAAAATAAAATTTTAAAAAGGGGGCAAAGAACAGTCTTTGATTCTCTGGGAGAAAGACAGAAACAGGCTGTATGAGCTCTGGAGCTCAAAGACTCATTTAATAAGGCATCATGGATAGCTCTTGCTAGCTGCTGCCACGGACTCTTTCTTGTCATCTATTTGCTGAGAGTAGACTCTTTCCTCTCTTGTATTTATTGACAACTATTCACTTGATTTTATTATGCCTTTTTTATGATATTATTAAGAAACTTTTTTTTCCCAAATTAAGATGAAGTGAATCATTCTCTATGTTTTATGTAATGAAAGGCCAGAAGACTTAACAGATAATATATAATGTGAATTTGATCATATATGTTCCTCACTGACAACGATTCAACAAACTCAGAAACTAAATTCCAAGAGAAAAGGATGGAAGTACATAAGCTGGACATATCAAGGACCTAACTGTATGAAACTCAATTGAAATGGTGAACAACAGAAACACAAACTATGGTAATAGTATGAAGTTTGGAAATAGGAGAGTAAATGCGCGAACTAAGAGGATTGTGCGACATTATTGCAGTCAATAGTCATAAATTTTGTATTTGGATATAATTTGGAATACATTTATTGCCATTTATTATTCCATATGTTGATTAGTATTCGAAATGGAATAGGGGGAACCATAGACAAAATATTAGCTTGATTGTGCAGTTACACCCCTAAGATTATACAAATTACATTCTAATGTATTGTGAAGTTAATTCAACCTCTTCTTAGGTATTCCTAAGATTTGAGCTATCATAGCTAAAAAAAAGTGTGCTTAATTTCATTGCCGAAGGGCACAAGGCTTTAGAGGGATTCAAATTAAGTCTAGTCTCACATAGGTAGGAGCATGCAGAAGCAATGAACTGGAATTGGGCTAGCAGCGCTGCTTGAGACTAGAATCTTAATTAAGCTTTTGTGTCAATAATATACAAGGAAATGGAAGAAGTACCCTAATTCAACCAAATTCTTAACTTTGCATGCATTCAGGCCAGATCAAGTAGGCTAAATCCTATACAATTTGATATTGAGAAAAACTATAACCTAACATAAAATTGTGGTTGATTAGTAATGTATTATGGCTAACCTAGACCATAAACATGAAGGATTTCTAGCTAAGAATATAACCCCTTTCTCAATCAACTTAAATTGCTAAAAATCCATATATCAAAAAACAAAACCTATCAATTTAAGTAAGAAGAGCAAACTGACTAACATTTATGCGCAGAAGCGAAACACAATTCCTTCGATGTGAGCCATTCGCTATGTGCGCCACCTCATGCAATGAGTTTCCATTTGATAGAACATCAAGCTGCATCAAAATTAAAAGAATCAATTGTTGTCAATATTACAGTAAAATATTGGTTACAATCACAAAAGAGCAATGAAAGTACCTGAGATCTTCGTTGTTCATCTGTCAAAAGATCAAACACCTGATCCTGAGAGAAAGGAAGCCAAGTTGTGGAAACTGCAGTAAGTATGACTCCATTGGGCTGGCCTGGTTCCATACTCTTCCGAGTTGTTACCCTAATTGTATCATCAGAAGAGTCTGAGAGCGCAGTCCATGATTGGTTGCTAGCTGAACTTATGTTAGCACAAAATGTCTTAACCATTCTATGTGATAGTTTCATCATATTCTTCCTTGCATCCGGAGAAGGAATCACTGAATTAGAAGGACAAAAAATGAGAATAATTAGTATCACATGATAATTAAACCAAAAAAAAAGATTATTGGATGGAGAATTATATTGATACCTCCAAGATCAGGAATGTTTCTGGCCATGAGGCTGGCATGCCTCTCACACTGACGTTGTAAGATTGAGAGCCATCGAGTTGCTCCAAAGGCGATGCCATTAGTAACAAATTGATTGAATACCTGATGCACTGGTTTATCCTCTACATCCGCATGTTCAACCCACATCACCTGAGAAGAAATTGGATGTGATCCTTTGATAAACAATCTTGCAAAAACATCACCACTGCACCTTATCTCCCAATTTTAAGCATTTGATAGGAAGCATTACAAGAGGAATCATACACATCTTGCTAGTGAACTTCCTCTGTTAACTTTTAAGTATAATGCACTGCAGTCATATCCTATAGAACTACAGCATCTGCTTGATAGATATATGCAAATAATGTTTTGTTGTAAAGGTATAATGTCTTAAATTAAGTCCTTCTAACAATTGGACCAAAATTCTATAGTTATGGTGAGAGTTATGATTTATATCTTTAAATTCTAACATGCTCCATATGTTGAGAGCCCCCTTCTAATGGGGGGAAATATGGACTCACGTAGTGGTGTTTATTTTTTTTAGAAAAATTTACTTTAAATTTATGGCTGATGGGATTTGAACCTGGGCTACTATTATATCATCTTAGATTAAATCCCTCTAACCATTACACCAAACTCCGAAATTATAGTAAGAGTTGAGAATTATATTTTTGTATTCTAACAGGACCTGAGTATGACACCATCTAATAGCATATTTTACCTCCCGTTCAAACATGACGTTGACAGGACAAACAATATTTTTTATTGCTCAATAGAATCAATTAATAACAAAAATAAATAAAAAGTGAAAATAGTGGGAATATATTCATGGAACGGTGTATTAATTGGATCTAATTGAAATTGAAATAAGAAGATGGAATGTCATATGCGATATATAATAGCTAGGAGGATTTCCGACTCTTTCAATTTCATACCTAGAGAAGTTCTTAGAGTTTTATTCTCTAAAAAATAAAATAACATAAAATAAAGCTAGGAAGACTTCTTCACTCTTTCAGTTTCACAGCTTCCCTTCAGGGGAAAATAAAGAGATAAATGAGACATCTATAAGGCTAAATTAACTAAGAAGTACTCATCTAAACATGCTAGAATATATTTGCAGTCAACAGCTAGTGATCAAGGAGGCCAATTCTTTCCTTTAACTTTCAGTTTTCTGCTTTTAGAGTGAGTGCATCAAATATATAAAGGAGTTGTACATATGCCCCTAATATATTTGAGCTTATTCATAGATTTTTTTAGCTAATAACCGTAATTAATCCTTCAACCATCATAGATGAGCTTCACCTTTTTTTATCATTCTTGAAAAATAATTTAATACAAATTAAGCTGATTGTTAATAAAATGATTAATATTCTAATATGACGCTTTACTAGATGAATTCATAATATAACTAAATCAAAGTAATAAATGTGAAAAACATATGCATTTATACAACATTAGTTACCCTTGCATAGCCATTTGGCATGTCCTGAATGATGCATCCCGATGGTCGCCTTCTATAGCGAGGGGGAGACATCTGAAGCCCATCATGAAAGCCGTCAATGGGGAAATCAACAATAGTCCAAGTTCCCTCTTCTATATTTTGGTGGCAATATCGGAGAAAATGTGCCTCTCGTGTAGGCACTAATGGTGAAAGAACTTGGAGCTCTGCATACATCTGCCAAAATCCAAAATTAACAAGTAATTCAGACCAATGTAATTAAATATTATAGGTAAACCGAAAAAAAGTTTTTAAATTAATTACCAAATGAAGTGATCCATTGCCGTGGCCAGAGATTCCGGTGGCCAAGATTTGAAGTGTTTTTGCCTTGGAGACAATTGAAGGAAACAGTTCCATCCACTTATTCTGAAGAAATCATTGAAACACTAAATATATAATTCATTATATATGTATTTTCAATAAGAATAAGTTTGATTTGGGAAGCTGATCATGTTGTTACGACTATATTCAAACTCCGTCACATCCTTTGGTTGAAAGCTTTTGTGATTCTACGAAAATGTTGAAGACACAAACTAACTTACCCTAGCTAGCTAGAGTAAATTATGTATCCTAATTTTCAAGAAACCCTCTCATCTAAACGTTTGACAAATGAATTAATGATCCCCTAATCTATGACGTGTAATGAAATAATTGGAATAAAAAAAAGACATCTAAATTACAAATTTAATTTGGTAGTTGAAAAGAAGTAAATAAAGAGAACTTTTTTTTGGCTAAAAAGTAAACAAATCTAATGTTCTTATAATTAACCTAGAACTTTGTATTAGCATGCAGGTTCTAAATAACCAAACGCTATCATAAACCTAATTATTTTAGATGAGGGGTTTGGTTGGAAAAACAACTTATAGATGCAAAGATTATTTTTACAATTTACCCAAAAATAATAATTAAAAAGCAGTTATTTCGACCCCAAAAAAAGGAATGAAAAAAAAGATAAACAAACTTGTACTAAGTAAACTTACAGCATCCAAGAAAGCATCAACCAAAGTGATACTATTCATCATAACGATCCCAGTATCCCTCGTTCCCTCACTCCTAAACTCCCCATTCATGGTCTTGATCTCCACCGGCCACTGGAACAACTTCCCATACTCCTCCACATCTAAAACCTCCATCACCATCTCTCCACTGATTTTCTTCTTTACCCAAACAGGCGCATTGACACTACACAGCCTCACCAAATGCTCGGCCGCCGTCATCGCCAGCTCAACCGCCATCCCCTTATCCTGTTCCATCATAAGCATTCCCCCTCCAAACTGCATCTCACCCTCAGCGCAGCCCCCGATCATAGCCTCAGCAGCAAACTGCGGCCTCGAGTACATATTCATGTCAAGGTCCAGAGACGGCAGCATGAGCGACGGAGTGGGGCCTAGAGCCTGCACAGGGCGGCCGCTGGTGTAACGCGCCGCGATGCAGGATAAACGCTCGAGCTGTCATCGCATGAACAATAACGATAATTAGTTTTTGTTTATTGCTGTACTAGAGAAAATTTTTAGTGGGTATTAATTATTGGATGACCTCGTCTTTGAGTCGAGCGTTTTCGAGGCGAAGATGCTGCTCGTCGAAGGACATCTCACCGAGCAATGCAGGCCCACCGCAGTTTGGGCAGATTACATTACGGATCGCCGTCTGAAGACGGAAGTTCTCGTTCTTTAGGGTTTCGTTCTCGGCTCTCAGGATCACGTTGTCTGATCTATCTTGTTGAGCCTGTGGCAAAAAAAAACGATTAAAAAATTTAATTGCAATTTTAATTGAGATAATCTTGGGCTGCACGTGTAATGGACGACGATGCGTATGTTAGGGAGAAGGGTAGGGTTTTGATATCCTGCGTACCTTCATCTGGGTGCGGCGGTTCTGGAACCAGAATTTGACCTGGCGGGGTTTGAGGCCGAGCTCCTGGCTCAGCCTCATCCGCTGCTTATCATCCGCAGGGACCGCTCAGTGTTGTGTCACCGTGATTGGTATACTCGTCTACCAGCGTGCCTGTGCGCCGGTGCTTTGGTGCGCCCGTGTTGAGACCGTCATGCTTGTTTTTCTAGGCTCTGCCGCGTTGCGGAGTTCGATCCGTCTGTGACGGTAGCTTCGTTGGCGGGTCCTCACCTTCCGCGTGATCGTTTCGTGTGACCGCTGTTCGCTGCTCTCCGGGCTTTCTTGATTGGCGTCACGGTCGCCGGTGCCGCTGATACAGTCGTATGGCCTTGCGGCGTGCGACTGAGCTCTCAGCGTCATCGCTGTCGTGTATGGGCCTAGCGCTTTTGTGTAGGCCGCTATGGCTTGCGTGCCGGGTTTGGCCTTGTGCTGGCCGCCGGGTTTCGGGCGTGCCGGGGTGGGGCGTGTGTTGGTGTTCACGATTGCGCGAATTCCTTAAGACACCTGAACAATAATAAAATAATAAATTTTAAAGTCGTTTTATTGCAAAAAGGGAATTTTTTTTTTTTGGACGAAAAAGGGTAGGCGAAAAAAAAAACTCACGCCTCCATTTTTGAATTCTGGCGAGCGGGTGTGGCGGTGGTATCGCTTCCGTTTTCCATCGCCTGCTGCTTCTGCTTGCTCCTCGGCGGCTCCATTATCGTGTTCTTCGCCGCAGCTGGTGCCGTCCACGTGACCTCCGGCTTCCCGATCCGCTCTCCATCTCCTCCTCCTTCGATCTCCCCACCACCATCTCCTCCTTCTGCAACAAAATAAATAAATAAATAAAATTTAATCACCAATAAATCACAAAATAAAAAATAAAAATAGAAATTAAAACAAAAGAACTCACAGGGACTAGAGAAGAAAAAGAGTGGAAGGGCAAGTTGGTCATAAACCCTAGATTAGGGTTTCTGATGGAGGAGAAGAGAGAATCCGAAGAGATCCCGTTCGCCTCTCCGTTCATCATCGACATCGACGACATCACTTGACAATCTCCATACATCTTCACAAAATCTCTTTTTTATATTTATTTTTTTATTTTTTTATTTTTTTGACATGGGAGAGTGAGATCTCTGAGGAACTCCCCTCTGCTCTCAGTGTATCTCTCACAATATACACTGATTCTCTCTCTCCTATTTCTTTCTCTCTCGTGCAATTTACTGCGGCAATTAATGGATTTTTACCGTACGGGGTAAATATAGCCTCTAACTTCGCGGGACCGAGACCCATCCTTTCCTAGAGAAACCGACACGTGTCATTCATCAGAACGGAGTAAATGGCCGTTTCTGCCTTCGAGGGACCCTTAAGTCAAACTCCCTTTGTCCCGTTTTCCGTTCGGGCCATGTCTTAGGATGGGGCCCACAATTCGACGGCTGAGATTTTGCGTCGGGTTGCATTCTTTTGATGACCCGTTCATTCTGCTAAAAAGAGTTGACCTTTGAAAGAAGAGTGAGCGGACTGCGTAGGGGTACTTTGGAAATATAGAATATGACAAATTTGTCTTATAATTCGTTAATTATGAATTTAGTCTGAATTATAGAAGTTATTCTTCCTAACTTGTTATCAGGGCCGGCCCTCGGTATAGGCGGGAGAAGCCTTCGCCTAGGGCCCCCAATGTGTTACAAAACCCTACTCTATCTTCAGACTTCCGTCAGCTTCTTCCTCTCCTCCCGTTCCTATCTCAGTCGCCGCTCTCACATAAAAAAGAAAGAAAACCCTAGGCCTCTCTCTCTGACCTCTCTTCTTCCAATCTTCCTCCCATCCATGTCCTCCTCGGTTCTTCCCTCTCGTCCGCCACCATTGACCAAGGTTAGAGTTTCACTTCTTCACTTCTCTGCCCCTTTTGACAAGATCTTGAATTGATGTAGAAATTTTGATTTAAAAAAAATGAAATTTCTGGTCTAAGCAAACACTACAAGAAATCCGGTATTTAACGACCAAAATTAGTGAAGGGACCAGCTGACCGTCATTAATGTGCATATATTAACGACGGGTTTTAAAGCCTTCGTCGAGTGATTACAAATATTAGAGGAATGATGTGAGATAGGATAACGGTTTTCTAGTCCCTTCATTAATTTGATCCTAATACCGTCGTTATTGGGTCTCCTTAAAGACAAAGGGGTCCATTACCTTCATTGATGATACTCCTAATCAAAATAGGACTGAAAAGTTAATTAACCTATTACTATATATTAACAAAACCCACAACCAAACCTGAAGCCCCAACTAGAACCCAAAACCCGAAATCCAAAATCCCATAACTCCTAATCATCCCTCTTACCGCAGCAATTAATTAAACCCTAGTTTAAAAAAAAATCACCTTTCTCCTGATCATCGCATCTCCATCTCGTCGTGTGTCTCTCGTTCGTCGTCGGCTCCCGCTCGTCATCATCTCCAGCTCGTCGTCGACCGATCCAATTTGTCTTCCATCTATAAGTAATTATGATCTTTTAGGCCATTTGGAATCAGTCATTCAAAGAGGAGTTTTTCTTTTTTATTTTTATTTTGCCTTTTCCCCTTTTTTTCTAGGGCGGAGGGTGTTGGGCGGTGGGGGTTGGGCATGGAATTTTTTTCTTTCTCCTCGAGCTCAACTCAGAAGAATCGAAACCCTCCTATCGCCAAAATCACCGAAAACCCTAATTCCTACCCCTGGATCCGTAAGCTTTTCTCCTCAATCTCTTTCGCCCTTTGTTAGGGTTTACTTGCTTGCTAATTCTTACGTGACCTCTGATGATTTTGTGAAATTTTTATATGTTTTAATGCTTAATTTATTATTATTATTATTATTATTATTATTATTATTATTATTATTATTATTATTAGGTTTCGGTTGCAGAGATGAGCTTCTCTATGAATCGAAAGAAGACTCCTTTTCAGAAGCATCGAGAAGAGGAAGAAGCCAAGAAGAAGGTAAATGTTTTCCTTTATTGTATTTCTTTTTTTACTGGACCTCGACTAGGGCTTATTGGTTGTGAGGAAATTTGAGTGCTTTCTGTTGCTTTATCTTTTATGACCCAAATGATTGAAGTTTATTGTTTCATGAGATTGAATAATCACTCAGGAGTTAGGAGACACTTTGATTTTGTACAGCTAAACAGAAAACTTATATTCTCCCACTTTTAATGTTATGAATAATTATGCAAATTAAGAGCTTTGATAGGATAGAAATATATCAAGATGACTATACCCACTATGCATAAAAGTTTTACTTTTGAGTGTAAGTATCAATTTGCACAGGTATTCTGAAGTGCTTATGGTCGTTTTGCTTATGATGATACTTGTTTTCTTCTGTTGTCAAACAATAAATTACTGCTTAACGTCTTAAATGCTTGTGTTAGAAAATATAAGGAGAAAATCATGTTCGATGAAAATATTCTAAAACACCATTAGAGATCGGTTGGGAGTTGATTGATTAATTTTTTATCTGATGTTCGATGAAAATATTCTAAAACACCATTAGAGATCGGTTGGGAGTTGATTGATTAATTTTTTATCTGATTTCTTAATTATAAAGAGATAGAGATCGGTTGGGAGTTGATTGATTAATTTTTTATCTGATTTCTTAATTATAAAGAGAGCTGAGGATGAGACTGCCCGATTGTATGCTGAATTTGTGGAGTCATTTCAAGCGAATGATGAGCCTAGTTCAAAGCCTTCTGTTAGAGGAGGGTTGATTAATGCAAATGAAAAGCTAAAGGCAGATTCAGAAGGTTAGTCTCAATGAGTTTTATACTGTTTACAAGTTATGTTTTTTCCCTTTCAATTTCTCGCATGCGGTTATATGCTTGATTTTTCTGCATGATTGTTTACAAGTTATGTTTTTTCCCTTTCAATTTCTCGCATGCGGTTATATGCTTGATTTTTCTGCATGATTATTTTAATTAAAAAGATGGGCCTTTTCTGCGGTTATATGCTTGATTTTTCTGCATGATTATTTTAATTAAAAAGATGGGCCTTTTCATTCATTCGACGATCGCAGGTGGAAAAAAATTCCAAAGATGGGCTATCTGTTCCAAAGAAGGCAACTAGGTAACTTAAATGTACTTGATGATTAGAAGGTGGAATCCTGGTGATAGCTGTGCTCATGCTTAAATAGAGAGAATTACCGTTTTCATTAAGTCAGGGAAATGCAAGTTTAATTACTTATTAGTATGAAATATTATGCTCTTCTATCTTAAGAATATTTAAGTAGCTTTGTAAACCTTATGCGGTACACACAAGCTGCAATCTGTGTGGAGTTCTTTTGTTTTCCTTTCTACCTTTCCTTTCCGACTGGAGCTCCAATTTGTCTCTTTTTGTATATGGTTTGTTTTGGTGTTGGAGGAGCGTGAACAGTTACATGCTCTTAGCTTTTGCCACAACCGTCATATATCATATGATTTTAGAGCTTTGACACGCAATGTATAGGAGTAAGGTATCCTTTTTGTTTGTTATGCCTACTCTGTATATAAGAATGTTATACCAGTTCTTGTTTGCCATAACCAGTGCATTGTGATTGGACCATATCTTATCCTAGTTTTGGAAAAGCATCATATGCTATTTTAAGACTTGAAATGCAATCATGTACTCTGCCAGCTAATCTTGAATGTATTATATGTCTTTTGTGTAGATGAACATGTAATAAATAATTATATACCTTTGCCACATAAGTAACCTATGAATTGTAACATGAGACACACAATGATCTGATTCTCAGACAGGGTAAACTGAAACAGAAAGTAAAGCACTATTAGACTACTTATTTCTTCATGTTATCAAGAAAACTGGAGTATTCATTTGATATCATTTACCTTCAACTGTTGGATAATCATGTACCAGAAATACACTTAATAGAGGCAAAGGAAAGATGCTCCACCACACGGGCAGTAACCCCTTTAGACAAATTGTGTGGGAACTGGTATACATTCAAAACTAATTTTCTATTTATTTAAAGCTACATTGTTTTTTAGTGCGATGCTGAGCTCATTTTTATTTAATATTTGAATAAGGGTGGCAAGTTAGGAAATCCACCTGATGTAGCAAAAATGTTCCATGAAACTCAAAAGAAAGCTAATGAAACACTAGATATTGGGAATCAAGATAAATATGTAAGTAGAATATATATTTAAATTTGATAATGATGCATTATATAATACTAACATATATAGTTTAGACTCATATACCTATTGGAGTATCAGGGAGCAGTTTAACCTCTTATACCGGTCGGAGGAATAAGAAACAGTTTATACTCGTATACTCTTTGGAGTCTTGAGAAACAGTTTATACTCATGTACTCTTTGGAGGTTGGCCGCTTTCAATTGGCTTACCCTAGCGTTATAACGCCGGCTTCAACCAAGGTTATATTTAAATTTGATAATGATGCATTATATAATACTAACATATGAATTCAATTTTTATAGGATGAAATTGTTCAAGTAAAACAAGCAAACCCTTTACTTTCAGACATTAAGATAATTAAGAAAATCTGGGGGAAGCAATCTCATGGTCACATCACTGTATTTGGTGGCGGGACAACTTTGAAAGATTTGAGAGGACCGCTCCCTAGTCGATCTGATCTGGAAGCACGGGTTATAGAAGAAAAGAGAAAGAACCAGATGCTTCAACAACGCTTAGATGAGCAGGAGCAACAACAACAAAGGATGTCTGAGTTGGAGTCACAAGTGAAAGCTATGCAAGAACTTTTTTTTAGGCAATCACCTTCATTGACTCCTCAAACTCGAGAACATGTGCAGGACTAGGTAATTTTAGATAGTTTCATGTATTTTTCTTTGGAACAATTAGGATATTAACTCTTATTATTAGTATTGAATATTTGAGGATGGTGGAATTTTATTTATTGATGTTATTAATGAATGGAATTTTTATTTTACCTCTTATTCATTATTGGGTATTTTTAATATATTTTTGTTGTGAATCTTAGTGTCAGGTTGAGAATAATATGATAGTTGCCTATGAATGAAAAAATTATTATTAATGTATATTAGAAATTTGTAATCTACAATGACGGTTTTATAAATCGTATTTGGTTCATCAACGAAGGGAAAGCATCGTCGTTGATGGGTTATTAATTACCCATTATGAGGACTTTTACGACGGTATCCAACCGTCATTAAT